AGATGGAACTCGGGGAGAAGCAGGGCAGGACCTTCAGTCACGCTCCCCAGCCCTCCGTACCGAGATTCACACCTCCTTCGTCGAATTGGCAGAACAACCCCATTCTCCCCGTCGTCAGCTATTGCGCCTCGTCTATCCTGATGACCGTGGCCAACAAATACATTCTCTCGTTTCCTGACTATAACCTGAATTTCTTTCTTTTGGCCGTTCAGGTTCGTCAATCTACTCATTCACTCTGTATTCTGCACCTCCAGCTGACCTTTCTTTTCCAATAGTCAATTGTCTGCGTCCTGGCTATTCAATCCTGCAAAACAGCAGGCATCATTACGTATCGGGACTTTAAAGTGGATGAAGCCAAAAAATGTACGGGTTGAAATAAAATTCCGGAAACCTCGATGTCTTGTCTAACCAAATGGCAGGGTTTCCTATCTCCCTTCTTCTGATCGGAATGATCTACACGAGTACCAAAGCCCTGCGATATCTCTCAATCCCCGTGTACACGATCTTCAAGAATTTGACCATCATCCTGATTGCTTATGGCGAAGTGCTATGGTTCGGCGGCTCCGTTTCGTCCATGGCCCTTTTCTCTTTCGGATTGATGGTCCTCAGCTCTGTCATTGCGGCATGGGCCGATATCAAGCATGCGCTCGAATCACACGGCTCTGCATCGGCTGCTGCGACGGCGCAATTGGCCACCTTGAATGCCGGATATATCTGGATGCTGGCCAATTGTCTGTCTACCGCGGCCTATGTGTTGGGGATGCGCAAGCGCATCAAGCTGACAAACTTCAGGGACTTTGACAGTGAGTGACCCAAGTCCTATGCGGAAGGGCGCCGCACTAATCCTCTACCTTAGCAATGTTCTACAATAACCTCCTTACCATTCCCATCCTGTTGGTCGCCTCCTTAGTCCTTGAAGACTGGTCCGCCGTCAACCTGACCAAGAACTTCCCCATCGATGCAAGAAACGCAATCATTGGTGCCATGATCTTTACCGGCTTGTCCTCGATCTTCATTTCATACACGTCAGCGTGGTGCGTGCGGGCCACATCCTCAACCACATACTCCATGGTTGGAGCGCTTAACAAACTACCCATCGCCGTTTCGGGGCTCATCTTTTTCGACGCACCTGTCACCATCCCTAGTGTCTCGGCCATTATTGTCGGATTTGTTAGCGGAATCGTCTATGCACTCGCCAAAGTCCGAGAATCTTCGAAACCCAAGACAATTCTTCCCACGACGAACACAATGAGCGCCAGCAGCCAGAGCAACCGAGACAGCCTGAAGGCATGATTGAAAGACGGAGCGACGTGAGGCCAGGAGGTTGTAGACTACTATTCTTCAATATGCTGACTTGGTCAATGGATTTGGACGAAGATCTTATGCATTGCGAGGCGTTTTCTATGTGATGGGCTGGGTTGGGCTCGAGGGAATTCTGAAACGTAAGAGGGTCATGTCGAAACAAGAATCACTCGACACGAAATGTTCGGTTCGGCCTTTGTACTTTAACCTACCTAGAATTGTTAGACTACTGGTTTTTTTTTCGCTTGAACGGTAGGGGTAATAGTCAGCTCGAGAAGCACCTGTACTCCTCGCACGCAAAATAACATACAATACGGGAAATGAATGTGCGCCCCAAGGATTGCCTTCTCTAGGGTGATGGGAAACGGCTCCGCTGATTGAAGACTACTCCATCGCATATCCCGATCCAAATCTCTTCGAATCTGCCCTTAGATTCTGCTTCTCCCGGGCATTCCTTCAGCAGTTCTGCTGTAATCGGTGGCCGAATTCATACATGGGCAATGGTCATATGTGATGCTGGCAACACGAGAGACTCTAGAACCTAGACTCTATTTCTCTGGACTTAACGGGAAAAGGACAGGGAAACCTATATCTAACCAGGATCTAGCTTACCCTCGCCCTCTCCTTGAAGTCGCCGCTTTGAGACTACTCCTCCTGGCAAATATCCTCGACCTCACCCTTGATTCTCTCTCCTTAACACAACGTAAAAATAACCCGCGGTACGACCGCTGCGGTATCGGTGGTCGTCCAGTCACGTCTACCGATTCACCTATGAAAAGAACCATCTCACTATCTGTCCTCTCTCTTTTCTCCATTCTAGGTCTGTACATCTTTCGATATATCACCAAACCGCCCTACGACACCTTCAACATTTTGTCTTGTTCGGCGTATTTGTTGAATGAATGCGAAGTGACTGAATTGCAAGCTTTCAGTCATGGCTCGAATGGCAGTATGCTATTTGTGCCTTCTGAACTCGCTACTGGACCCCATGCCTTGCATGCGGTAGCATCCTGTCATAGGCAGACAGGAATCAATGCCAGATTTGGCAAAGCGCATTCTCAGAATTTATCTGAACACCACTGAGGTTCCGCTCGCTAGTGCCGAAAGCGCCGAAAGCGGTTGCGCGCCCTCCAGCTCTGCCATGGATTAACATGATCAGCTCCGTGCCAGACCTAGATTGGTAGATTCATTTCTAACTCGTTCTCAGCTTATGATTGCTGAACTTGTCACTGGACTCTGGGAAGGTGCGGAAGCCCCAAATAAAAAGCTCTGTCCAGGAAATGGCCGCAGACTCGCAAAGGCACCAGCAAGCCCATCTGAGAGATGTACGAGTATGGAGAGTATTCGGCACAGCGGCGGTTCAAACCACTCCCATCTAGTTCATGCAGCGCCTTGCCTATCCTGCGAAATAGCTTGACCAGTGATGCTCGGATTACATCCTTTAACTTTCCAGTTCTCTTCTCTGCTTGAAATTTATCTTCGGCTCCACCCTTATCCCAAAGGCGCCAGAATATATGGGTTAGTGACAACATACCAAGCCGATGAATGTCCTCCCAAGGTCGACCTCGGAGTCGGTGCCTACAGGACGATAACGCGAAACCATGGATTCGCTCGGTAGTGAAGAAGGTACTGCCATCCTGCGACCATTCTGTAACTTGTCTCGACTTGTCTCACAATCACCTCTAGGCAAATCAAATCTTCCACGATGATCTTGAGCTCAACCACGAACACACCCCCATACCTCGTAAGCTCAGATGACGAAGAGACCTAGACTTCTCCTGGGGGAGCACTCACATTCGAGGTTGAACGGTAAGCTTGGGAATTGCCATCACAAGGTTTTCAGCGTCATGTGACGATTCGCTGGTGGAAGTCTTCAGAGACCTGAATAGCAGCAGACATTACCTCTTGTAGCCGTGACGGCTGGGTAATGGGAGGTGACGCACTGCCATATATCAAAGACACCACTGACTTGGGCTTCACGTCTTCGGAAGGGTTCTTGTGGGGCACTGGGAGAACATCTGGCATGTACCTTACATTGCGAAAGAAACAGCAGTGATCAAGTGTTACGGACGGAACAATGATAGTAATTTTCCTCAGGCTCTAGAGCTTAGCTCGTTCATGTAAGTACAATTCTCGGCTTTCTGGTCCGCCGCGGCTCCTGTCGCCCAGAAATGTATCTGTGCGGCTCTCGTGCTCGGTAACCCCGTTCTGAACCGCCACTTCTTCGCCAATCTGGGCGGCAGACGCTTCTTCAAAGTAAGTGACATGTAGTCCCCTAGCATTGGTAAAAACTTGAATGCTCTGTATGAAAATGTGTTAGCACATCTAAATGCATTTGGTCGAGTTTGTCGAGATATTGGCATAAATGGGTAGTTTCTTGTATTTCTCCATCCCAGACTCGGTCAGGCGGACGTAGCCCAAAACTTGCAAGTTGCATCGTCGATAACATAGAGTTATACAAAGGAACCAACCCTGAGCTTTAAGCGCCAGTGGTAAGCTCCAAGTGATCCGCTTCTATCGTCGTGTTAGCAAGTGTCCGAACACTCTGGATACGAGAACAAGTATCTGTATTGAATTCAATCACCGTTCCTGCTTGATTAGCAATGAAGGAGACGCCCCAGCTCTAGACAGTCATCTCGGAGTTGCATGACGGCTTTGTCGGCATCTGCCCAGCCGGCTTGTGTGTTGTGATATCCAAATAAAAATATACAGGAGAGGCAAGAATCCCGCTCAATGTTGGATCAGCGCGTTTCGCGTCCATAGCATTGTCGAACTTCGCCCGGGAAGCCCTGTTCGAGACAGAACCGCCGTAGTTTTGCTGATCCAGGAGTCATGAGATGGCGTCCCCCTGCCAGCAAGTTTGTAAGGAGCAGAGGAAAAGATGCCTATATATCCCAGCAGCTCCCAGCGTTTATTTGCTTCATAGGCGATGCTTAAGTGGTCCTCGTCAGCGGAATCAAAACGAATAACGCGGGGGGACATTGGAACTAGATGCACCAGGTTTCTGCTCAGATTAGTACAGGGTCAATATGGGAGAGCAATGGGATTCCACCGAGGCCGATGCCTGTCGATGACACGAATCTTTTGGGTACACTTCTTGTGCCCACTGGCGAGCCGTGACATGCCAAAAAAGCCGGCACCGATGATGACTATCTGATCCTCCGTATGCATTGTCATCTCAAAACAACATAACGAGGGTGCAGCAGTGGGAATTAACAGCATTCTGTATAGTTTTCTCAACCCTTCCCTTGGAGTAGGAAGTCGGTCGTCGTTATGTTATAGATTGAAAGGCGTCCAAGACGAACGTGACTTGGACTACGAGTTACATGTCTGGAATCCCGGTTTAAGGATCTTCTCCCCGCTACGGAAAGATATTATTATGATTCAATTTATCTATTAGACCCACTTCATATATCACCTAACAATATGAGGCTCCTTAGTTACAGATTCTTAGTAAGGGGTCTAAGGGGAACAGAAGGTGTACGGTATAATTCATACCGCACTATTACCAGGAGGTAGAAGCGGCGGGAGCACAAAGCGGCGGCAGCCCGAGTCAAAAAAGATGGTGAGGCGGCTGCGGATTCCCTACTGTACGTAATTCTTGGCGGCATGGGAAAGTTGACAAAGGTCCATCTTGAAGAGCGTGCGGCGTCGAGGTGGCCAGATCCCAATCTGACGGGCACTGGCCTAATTAGTAGATGGGTAAGGTTCAGCGTCAAGCTCGCAAGCACAATTCCAAGTTTAGCAAATCGACAGTGGTTAGAAGGCAACACAGCCATCAACAACGGCAACTTGCATCGACGGTCGCGGCACCTTCTGCTCGAAGCCATCAAGGTCGGCAGCAAGCACGGTTGAAGGCACCTTTCACGAAATATGACAAGGTGCTGCTTGTTGGTGAAGGTAAGTCGACAAAGAGATTTACCCCAGAGCAAGGCCTTCTCTTTTCGCAGCCTCCTGGCTGTGATGTTTGTTGGCCGGAGGGGACTGACCAGCTCTGACTCTCCCCGGCCCTTGGAGTGACTGCTCATCAGACGCTAGGAGACTTTTCATTCTCATTGTCATTGAAGCTACATCACAATGTGCGCCAAATAGTAGCCACCTGCTACGATTCCAAAGATGTGCTTCAGAGCAAGTACCCCGAGGTACAGAAAACGACTACACAGCTTCAGTCGTTAACGCGCAGTAATGACGTCCCCACTGAGCGACAAGAGACTTCTGAGGGAAACGAAAATGCTACCGACACAGAAGAGGAGTGGAAAGGATTCTCTCCATCACCACCCAGTTCCCCAGTCCACGAGGAGCAGATCGAAGACCCGAGCAGACCTCTTGAGGAAGCTACTGTCAAAGTCCTCTACGGCATCGACGCAACGAAGCTTTCCTCGGCGCACAAGAAGGCCCTGAGGCCATATTCTCCATTCACGAAGATCGTCTTCAACTTCCCCCACGTTGGAGGTCTAAGTACAGATGTCAACAGGCAGGTTCGATACAACCAAGAGCTGTTGGTAGGATTTTTCCACTCTGCCAAGTCGCTGCTCTCCTCTCGAGACCATCCGGCAAAGATACGACAGGCATCGGAAGATGAGGCTGGTTACTACGCTGATATCTCAGCAGCGATAGAAGGTCCGGACCCTGGTGCCGTGAATGGCCAGATCCTCGTTACGCTGTTTGAAGGCGAACCGTACACGTTGTGGAATGTCCGAGATTTGGCCCGTCATTGCGGGCTCAAGGTAGTGGAGAGCTTCAAGTTCCCGTGGTCTGCCTACCCGGGGTACCAGCATGCGAGAACTGCCGGGGACATCACGACTGGCAAGGACAGGGGCAACGAAGGGAAGAGGAAAGGCGCCTGGAGAGGGGAGGAGCGAGATGCTCGGTGCTACGTGCTAGAGGATCAGAATGCGGAGTCGGAGGATGTCCAGTCTCCACAGCCCAAGAGGAGACGGAAACAGGGCGATGAAGACGATGACAGCGGCTGAGCGGATGGCTGATTCTCATTGACAATTGACACCGTCGCACAACGTAAGTGCCCGAGTAATTGCAAGCCAGCGAGTAGAGAGTATGCATGATGGGAGTACCGATACTGAGTGGCTGAAGGAACCGTTGTTCTGCCAAGACTCGTGCCCGGCTCCACTGACAAAACTCGATGTCTACCCAGTACTTGTATTAGTACGAGGCACACGGGCTCGTCGGTCCGCTCGACGGTTGCTGCAATCCTCTTTCTCCGCAACCTCGAAGCCAGCCCCCATTTCAACTTCCACCTTTCTTTTCTCTTCCTTCCCGCCCTTGCGTTGTCCCCGTCTTGAATTCACAGTCTCGTCGCGTCAATCCTTGCTCTCTCCAGCGCGCCTCCGCCATGTCAGACGAAGCGCCTCGTAAGCGGTCACGCTTTGACCAGACGGAACCCGAGCCTCGAAAGACCTCCCGCTTCGACAGGCGCTCTAGATCTCCTTCATCGCGGCAGACCGAATCCAGGAGAAGTCGCAGTCCGCTCACAAAAGCCAGTCAGAGTCCTGCAGCCAGTGAAAAACGGAGCACCCCTCTGGATCCTGCTGCTGCCGCGGGTAGGTCATCCCTCATCTGCATAAAGGCTGTGGTGCGTTGCTAACAATCCCAAAGCTGCGGCCGCTGCAAAGATCAATGCCGAGTTGCAGGCTCGCAAGGGCATCCAGCATGTCGAGGTCCCTCCGGTTCGATCTGTAAGTTCCACCTGGGCTGTCTCGACATCGCGCATGTGCTTACCGTCTTCTCAGTCATCGACACCCACTCCGGCGCCGACGCCTGCGACTCCTTCCTCCGGTCACAGCACAGCCAAAGTCGACGGCGAGATCTACATTGCAGATGGTGACTATATCAAGGACATTGAAGTCAATGACTTGCGCAACCGCTACACGTTGACAAAAGGCTCTACACAAAAGATGGTAAATATTCCTCATCTGAACCGATCGCTTCACCAAGCTTTGTTACTGGATCGACGGCTAGTTCACTTGTCGGAGGATGTCTCTGACCAAAATGTCCTGGTTACCTTGCTGACATAGTTTGCCTGCTTTTAGATCAAAGAAGAGACAGGGGCTGGTATGCTTCCCTCAACAGATCTTTGTTGTTTTGCACAAGACTTACCTGTACTTTGAAGATGTCACAACCCGCGGCTCCTACTATCCGGACAAGACGATGGCCACGGCAGCAGTAAGTGGGCCCTGTTGTCGCAAACAACTGGCGACTGACGAGACACAGAATCCGCCGTTGTATCTTCACGTCACCAGCACCTCCAAGGCTGGGCTCGAGAAAGCAATCGCCAAGATTGAGGAGCTTATGAAGCAAGAACTCCCCAACCTTGTTGATGAAAGACGCTTCCGCCGAAGAGAGCCAGAGCAATTCGAACGAGATGAATTTGGCAGGGTAAGTGAGAGAAATCGATCATCGGTTCCCTCAACTTACATGAAATCAGAGAAAATGGCCCGAAGAAAGGATCCCAATCGACATGGAAAATATCCCGGGCTTCAACCTTCGTGCACAGGTTGTCGGTCAAGGCGGCGCGTACGTAAAGCACATCCAGCAAGAAACTGGATGTCGCGTCCAGATCAAAGGCCGTGGGTCCGGCTTCATGGAACACAGTACCGGGCAAGAATCCGATGAGCCAATGTACCTTCATGTCGCCGGTCCTCAACCTGCTCAAGTTCAGAAAGCCAAAGAACTTTGTGAGGATCTGCTTGCTAATGTTCGCGTCAACTTTGAACACTTTAAAGCGAACCCACCGCCGCCGAGAATGGAGTCATACACCGATGGTTATGGAGCTGATGCAAATCGCAGTTCGTATGGCGGACACGGAAGAGACCGGGGCCGCGACAGCAGTTACTCACATAGCAGCAACCACTACAACTCTCCCTACACCGGTGCAGCATCCACCCCTGCGCCGGGAACCGTCTCTTCACCGCCGGACTACGCCGCACAATATGCTCAGTATTATGCCAATCAACCAGGAGGCGACCCTTATGCTGCGTATGGTGGCTATCAGAACTACCTCGCCTATTATCAATACTATCAGCAACAGGCAGCTGCCGCTCAACAGCAATCTCCACCCCCTCCACCGCCGGGAGATTCGAATCCGCCGCCGCCTCCAGCGGACAGCGGTGCCGCACCACCTCCACCACCTCCATCCAGTGGCTATTCGGCAGTACCGCCACCTCCAGGTTTATGAGCAAGTTTGGTGTCGTTAGGCTGACAGTGTCAGATCAAGCACTGCGACATCTATCTCGGGGCAAAACCGCGTCTCCACAGCAATTTTTTACTTGACCTTTTTCTGACTGGGTATAGCAATGTTTTGCTAGGAGGACTGCGGTTTGTATTTCAAACGCACGGGACGGCCAACTTGCACGTTGGACAGGCAAAGTATCACGAAAGGACATAATTTTTGAGAGCGCTGATCGGTCAATAGGGACCAGATCCCATAATTCCATTGCAAAGCTTCCTCGTGTGTTTCTAACAGCTGACCTTGTTTGGCGTAGTCGTGACTATCAGTCAGCCACTCAGCGTAGTGGGCCTACCATATGATGGGATGGCACGACTCTTTTTCGCTGAGTTTGATTTTGTTGGCTTGAACAGTTAATGGCTGCATGTAAGTGAGACAGACTGATTTTGTCATTATCTCATATACTAGGTCTCTCCGTCCGAATTTTCCTGACAGGCTCTGCCTTGAAAAGAACTTTTTGGCCCCATGAGTGCTTTCAGTCATGGCGAGGACGGACAGAACAAGCTATGCGTATTAGACCTCCCGTACCTTCGAGGTCATCAGGGGTCAGTTTCTACAAGACATCAAGCCCCCCTTTCTTTTCTTGTGTCTATTCAATTGGAGGCAATTTGACAACAGCTACACATGTGTGTTGAGCTCCCTAGAAATGCTGAAATTGAAGAAAGCCTGTGACGGACGCCTGTTCAATATAGGAGATCAATCTGTCGGATTGGCATCGCTCTACTATGTGCATGATCTACCGCTGCGACCGAACCAAACCTGATTGACAACTGACGCTCTTTTTCACCATTCCTGCACCCGTGCTGTTTTATGCACCCCAAAGCGGCAACCGGTTCAGCCTCGTTCAGGCTGTTTGATTGATGGAAACGGTCTTTGCACTCCTCGACCTAACGCCGGTCCAATTTGCCTTGCGCTTTCCGGCTGCAAACCCGCACATTGACGCTGCATAGATGCTCACAAATACTCGCCATGATCAGATCGGATGCCTACTCCTGTCCCGCAATCCCCCCAAACATCGACAAACAGCCGAGGACCAACTCGAGTATGGCCATGTCTAAAGCTGCGTTGACACCCCATCCATAACTAGTCGCCACAGCCACAACCACTTGCCGAAGACTGGTAGGGACGATATACAGCATCATGCTTTCCGACATTCTACCTCCATGAACAACGTTCTGTTCTGCCTACTTGGAAGTCATTTAGTGCTCCTCAGTCGAGTGAGCTCTAGTCCTTCTTTATCCATAACGAGGGTCAGTTGAGATGTGACACCACGAAGGCAGGCCCGTCCACTTCACTTTCTTGACCCGTTGGACTCAAGAATCGCCTCCCAGTCCGCGGTGAAGTGGGTTTCCCAATCGCGGCGAGTTTTTTGCGGCTCCCACCCAAGCTCGCGCGTCTTGTGCCCCCTTGTCCTTGAGCTATTGCCCCCCTGTTAGCTTCAATCTTGCTATTCCTGCGAAAAGCTGGCGCTTCACTTACTTAGATGCCCACCCGATCTCGGCAATCAATCCCCAGCCTTGTCCCAGGATGTCCTTGGAGCCCTGTAGATCCAGAGTCTGAAGCTCCGTGGTTTGCAGAGCACCAAGAGCCACGCCAGCTTCGGCAACTCTCTCAGCAATCTCGCGCCACGTGTGCTCCCCGTTCTCAATGAAGTATATTCCATCCTTGCCACTGGGGATATCTTGGCCATTGAGGATCTTGGTGACGACAGTTTCATAGAAACTGGCCATATCCTGGATATGGGCATGGTCCCAGATGCCGGACCCGTCGCCGACAACGGGGACCTTTCCAAGCTTCAATCCCGCACGAATCAAAATCGGAACGTGGCAGAACTCGTGCAACGGACTGACGCCGATTCCATACAGACTTGGTGACATCAACACGTATGTCTTGACGCCGTGTTCGAGTCCGGTCTCTGTGATGACGATGTCGGATGTCCTCTGAGCGTAGGGTACGTCTTCATCCCTTGTTTTCATATATGCGAAGATATCATCCTTGTCGGACAGCGGATATCGAGACTCGACGTATTGCATTGAGATGGGACGATCGGCAACATTGGATGTTCCCGAGGTCTGTGCAAGAGAATGATTTGTGTTAGTATTTGTTTATGCATGCTAATAAGACAGGGTAGCTAACTCACGTGGATATAGTGTACATCTTTGCCGGTCTTCCTCTTCCTCTGCGCCAGTCCTAGCACCAACGCCCTTGCCGAGAGCGTGTGAAAGCCAGAGGCGGCATGTATGACAACTACCAAATGTCACAGTCAGTATTTTCTTCTTCACTCGACTAGGATTCCGTGGACAGGATGCCACGCACTGTCATGGTTGCTTGCCGCTTCCGCCAGGATCTCCGTCTCGTCAAGAGAGTTGAAAAGCAGTGGCGTCACTCCGAGTTTCTTCAACGCTTCGGCTTTCTCCTCGCCTCTGACCATGCAGCTTATAGAAGCTGCCTGTATTGCGGGATTCTTGGAGGCCAAGAGAGCGGCCAGTACCTCGCCGCCACTGCGGTGCCAACGTTAGACTCCTTTACCTTATTACATGCATCAACAGCTAAACTTTGGGCTTGCCATACATGTAACCACTGCTTCCGGTGATAAGTATCCTGCTGTTCGACATTGCTTCGGCTTGTGTTGAAGGGGGATGGAAATTGTGGTTTCACGATGGTTACCACCAAACAGCTGGCAAATTCTGGCTGAACGAAATCTTTTTGGAACGTCTTGGATAACCCTCA